ACAGGGCTCTCTTTCCCTCTTGGCAGAGATGCCTACCATGCACTGTGTTTTGCTGTAGGATTGAATTGTTTAGGAAGGAAGGAGGAAGAGCTCCTTTGCCTTATCCTTGAACTGTTTATTGTTTTTATTTTTGTTTTTTTGCCCTTCCTTCACATTTCTCTTCTTGCCTTTGAATAGTTAAAATGAACTTTCCCTAATTTCCATCTCACAAATTTGTTTCATATTTTTACACTTAAAAGTTACTTGTATTTTTTTCCTTTTCTTTCTTGTGTGTGTATGTTTTCAGGTAGGTAGATTGGTTACTTTTTTTTTTTTTAACATTTACTTTATTTATTTGGTTGCACTGGATCTTAGTTGCAGCAGGCGGCATCCTTAGCTGCGGCACGTGTGCTCTTTAGTTGCGGTCAGCAGGCTCCTTAGTTGTGGCATGTGAACTCTTAGTTGCAGCATGCATGTGGGATCTAGTTCCCTGACCAGGGATTGAACCCGGGCCCCCTGCATTGGGAGCGTGGAGTCTTAACCACTGTGCCACCAGGAAAGTCCTTTGGTTATGATTTTTATACATAGATAATGTAGTGTTTTTTTCCCTCTAATCTACTAGGAAAAATTTTGACCCTACTAGGAGGAAATTACTAAATAATTAAAAGTTATCAAATTAACTTAGGCTAGATAATGTACCAGAGTTTTGTCCTACAGGCTTCTGCCTAATTCCAGGGCAACTGTAAAAATATGCAACATTTCTGTAGGGGGAGGATCTGCTTAGAAAAGCATTCTGTCGTTTGGTGTTAGAACGCCTCCTTGTGATTTGTTTTCCTCATTCTTTAATATTGAAAGCATTGGCTTTGAAATTAAGTACATCCAGTAAACATCCTTTGGAAAATTAATTTTTCTTGTTTCCTTCAAAATAGAGTAGAAATTCAAATGTAACAGCAATATTGATAAACTAGATATACTATATGGTACAATAATTTAATAATTATTTTATATGCTTTTATCGTTTGTTAGCCATTCTGTGTGTCAATATATTACATTTAATTTTGTAAAACTTTGAACAAGTAAAATTGCTATATATTTTTGTGTGGATAAAAGGAACTTATATCTATGTGCATCACCATATTATTATTATTATTATTTTTTGCCTGTGTCGGTTCTTCATTGCTGTACGTGGGCTTTGTCTAGTTGCAGTGAGCGGGGCCTACTCTTCGTTGCAGTGCGCGGGCTTCTCATTGCGGTGGCTTCTCTTGTTGCGGAGCTCGGGCTGTAGGCACGTGGGCTTACAGTAGCTGTGGCTCACGGGCTCTAGAGCGCAGGCTCAGTAGTTGTGGAGCACGGGCTTAGTTGCTCCGCGGCATGTGGGATCTTCCTGGACCAGGGCTCAAACCTGTGTTCCTTGCATTGGGAAGCGGATTCTTAACCACTGCGCCACCAGGGAAGCCCGGCAGGTGGATTCTTAACCACTGCACCACCAGGGAGGTCCGCATCACCATATTCTAAATGAATTTGTATATCAGGTCAGGGTACACATAGCTGGAAGAATTGTATCAATGTGAAGTTTTTAGAATGATTATATGGGAACTTAAAAAAAACAGGGATGGATAAATAACAGTGTCTCTGCTGCATAATCACCTTTCAGGTGTTTCTGCCCAGTTTTCCTTCATAGTCAGATGCTTTGGGAGCTGGTGCTGTTGGGTGAGCCCCTCGTGGTCATGGCACCGTCACCATCAGAGTCGTCAGAGACTGTATTGGCACTTGTTAAGTGAGTATATTTGGTTCCTCATGGTGATAGTTGCAACAGTTTACCACCTGTGTTATGTTTGCACACTCATTGCATTATCTACACAATAATCCTGTAAGAAGGTAGTGCTCATTATAGCACCATTTATTGATGAGAAAATTCATTCAGATTCCATGTTTTTGTTTTTCTGGGCAATAAGCACATTCATTCACTTACATAAAGTGAGCACCTGATAAAAATCAGTTGTGTGAATGGTCAGTGTCTAGTAAAAGGTATGTAGCTAATGAATGATAGAGCCAGAATTTCACCCCGTCTTCTGCCCCAGATCCAGTGTGTTTTTGGTATGCCATCTACATTACATTTTTCCATTTGTCTTTCTAGTTTCCTGAAATGAGTTATAGATAGATGATCCCACAGGGGTAAACTCTGTGTATAGATATTTCACAGTTATTGAGTAGGGCCTTTAATTTCTGTCCTTTGTTTTACATGTTATTCTTGCTCTACAGCTGTATTTCTCCATTAAAGTACTTCAGTGATTTCCGACCTTATTTCACTATTCATGATAGTGAATTCAAAGAATATACCACCCGTACTCAAGCCCCGTGAGTAAACAAAATAACTTTTATTGACCAAGTATTACTTTATAACCAAATTATGTAGAATTATTTTTGGTAATAATTGAAAAGTTTAAATTTTGGACTTACTGGCAGATTGATTTTATAAAGGAAGCTTTGAGGAGCTGCTGGTAATAATTTCACATTTCAAGAGTCATTATCCTATTTTCTTTGAATGATCTTATTTGTTAGTGGAAGCTATATTGTCTTCCACTAATTAATAGCTAATTCCTCTAATTTAATAGCTATCTGACTACTTTTACTTCTGTCTTCATTCTTTACTTCAGGACCCCTTATAGCATCAGTTATCTCTTCTTGCTCTATAACTTCCTTTTCCTTCTCCCTCTTCATTGAATCAGCATATAAACATATAAAAATTCTTCCCAATCTGTAAAAGGGGAAAGAATATCTTACCTTTCCCCTTTAGTTCCTGCTCTGTTGTTCACCTTCTTTTCATAGCTGTTTCTAGAATAACAACAAAAATTTCCATTTACCCTCTCCACTTCTTGGTTTCCTGGTTGCTTCTCAGTTCGTTGCAGGTTGATTTCTTCATCTCTGCTGAAGTTCTTGCCAAAGTCATCAAGACCTTTCTCACTGCCTTGAACCTGTGGGCACATTATTGTCCTGTTTTTCTTGCCTTCCCTTTCTTGTAACACTTACTCTATTGACGTTGAAAACATTTTAATCTTTGGTACCGTCTCACCTGGCTGGTGCATCTCAGTCTCCTGTGCAGACTTCTTTTTCTCTGCCAACCCCTTAAATGTTGGTGTTCTCCAGTATTGTGTTCTGGGTTCTGATTTCAGACTGATATTTCTTTCTGTACAGTCTTATCTGTACCCACAGTCTCTGTTAACACCTATATACTGATGACTGAAATTTATCTTCCTAGTTCAAATCTTTGCAAGGTCTCGACCTCTGTCCAGGTTTTTGTTGTTGTTTTTTTATCGTATTGCCACCTGGACATCTTAATGGCACCCAAAATTAAACATGTTCAAACTGAATTCTTTTTGTCTCCTTCTTTTCTTCCCTAGTTCCATGCCTCTTCCTACTTCATGAATGGTGCTTCTTTTCACTTAGTTATCAAAAACCTAAATTGTCATAAATTTCTCGTTCTCAATGTGCTCCACGTGAAGTTTTACCAAATTCTGTCAACTCAACATCCTAAAATATCTCTCATAACATTTGTTACCTTCTTTCCAGAGCTCTCTTCCTAGTCTGACTGCCTCCAGTCTTTCTCGTATTTGCTGTTGCTTTTCCCAAACCTCTTCCCCTTTTTGCAGAGCATCTTCCAAATTTCCCCCAGAGTGATCTTTCTGATAAGTACATTTTTGTTCATGTAGCATTCCTCCACTCAGTTCTCTAGTAGCTTCTGTTTGCCTACAAGATAACATCTGAATTTCTTAGCATATTAAGTTGGTACTGAATGATCTGGCCAGCATCTGCCCATCTGCTTTCATTTCTGACTATTCATTCTTCCTGCTTTGTGCTCTAAGAATGCTGAGCTATATGTAGTTTTACAAACAGACCGTGATCTCACTTCATTGCTTTGCACATACTATTCATTCTCCTGCATCACATTTTCTTCCATTATCCCCCTGGCAAAAGACTCCTGTTCGTAACTTATATCATGTTATATATCAACTGTCCTTCAAAAAAACCCTCCTATTCATCTTTCATAGCTTTGTGCAAATGTCATCTCTTTGGTGAGGCTGTCCTTTAATCCCCTGGTAGACATAGTTTCTCCTTTGTAATAATTGTACATTTTATACCACCTTCACTGTATTCTAATTTCTGGTATTATAATTGGTTATGTATACCGCTTTTCCTGTGTGCTTTTAGAAAGACTGTGTCTTTCCATCTTTATATACCTAGTGCTAAAAATGGTGCCTGGAATGTAGTTGATATGTGGTACCAATGAAGGAAAAGATTATCTTAGTAAACTTAGAGTAAACAGTAGTTCACTCAAAATAAATTGTAAACTGATGGAACATTCATTTTTTCCTCACTTTGGTTTTGTTTTGTTTTGTTTTAATGTAGGCCCTCAGTCATATTAGGAGTAACCAACCCTTTTTTTGCAAAAACACTCCAGCACTGGCCCCACATTATTCGGATAGGAGACCTTAAACCTGCAGGTAAAGTATAAACTTGGTGTTCTTGTTTTAGTATGTAAGGTGGATGAGCAGGTTTATTTCTTCCTTTGTTTTCACTGCTTCGTTACTTTTTAATTATGTTGATGGCAACCTTCTTTGAGGCAACTTGAATAAAAGCCTTTGGAGAAGAGCATAACTTCCAGCTAAAATATACAGATTCTTATATGTATAACCCATCGTGTCTACCTACCAAAAAAATGCACTTACAGTGTTTTAAACATTGAATTATTTTGAGGTTTCATGAAACCTCAAAAATTTGAGCTACTTTTTGTATATGTATAAGCCCAATTAAACAGGATTTTCCAAGACTGCTTGAATAAAACCTTATAGAAAGTTCTAATTAATCAATTTGACACAAAATTCTCAACGAGGACTCCAAACAAGAATTACACATTTCTATGGCACTGGTATTGATTAAGGAAGTGGTCAAAAGGCTGTGCTTTCCTTGAAAAAAGACATGTAGTACCTTATTCATGGTAGCTGTTCAGTGAATGTTTACTAAATGAGTAAATGATTCTGAAGTTGGCAATTTTGTTAACCTGGATGACAATTTAATGGTACCTCTGACATTTTCTCACTGGACATTCCTGAATTTTCCATGAAAATAGTTGAGAAGTGAGCTATCTAAAATATTTCTAATAACTTTATGATATGTTACTTTTAAAGACTTTTCCTTCGGTGTACATGGGTATTATATTTAAGACATTAATATGATTATTTTATAAAATATCCCTTCTGGAATATAAATAAATCTAGATGACATATTAGGGAATAACATTTTTTTTTTTTTTAATTTTTTTTCTTTTTTAGATGTTGGGGGTAGGAGTTTATTAATTAATTAATTTATTTTTGCTGTGTTGGGTTTTCGTTTCTGTGCAAGGGCTTTCTCTAGTTGTGGCAAGCGGGGGCCACTCTTCATTGCGGTGCGCGGGCCTCTCACTATCGCAGCCTCTCTTGTTGCGAAGCACAGGCTCCAGACGCGCAGGCTCAGTAGTTGTGGCTCACGGGCCTAGTTGCTCCGCGGCATGTGGGATCCTCCCAGACCAGGGCTCGAACCCGTGTCTCCTGCATTAGCAGGCAGATTCTCAACCACTGCGCCACCAGGGAAGCCCCGGGAATAACATTTTAAATCATATTATTTACAAATATTAGACTCAATCTTAGACTGAAATCCTTAGAAACCTTATGAAGTAGAGGAAAGGGCAAAGGGCTTTACCTTGGCCGTCAGATCTGTGTGACCTTAGGCAGAACAGCCTCTTTAAGCCTGCAATTCTTTGTCTGCTGGGAGGATTGAACACAGTATCTGACTTATGGCACTCTGTAAATATCATGGTCCCTTGCCATTTCATTAGTGTTCTGTCTGATAGTTCAGAGCACAGCAGTCACTGGAGTCTCATCTATGAGAAGATATGGAAAGGTTTTTTGTTTTTAATCTTAATTTAATCTTGACATTTACTTTCTTGTTTTTTTCCTATTAATCTAGACTATTTGATTAATCGTAATATAGTAGACTACTGTTTATTGTTTTTTTCCAATAAGAAAAGGCTTTCTGTTGGGGCTGTAAGTAGAGGAACTTTTGCAAAGATCACTGGTAAAGTAGCATGGGTTGATAAGTCTGTTTAACTTTATAAGAAACTGCCTAACTGTTTTCTGAAGTGACCCACTATTTTACATTCTTACCAGCAGTGTATGAGGGTTCCTGTTTCCTCACGTCCCTGCCAACATTTGATATGGTCTTTTTTTTTCATTATAACCATTCTAGTGGGTTTAAAATGCTGGTTTTAATTTGCTTTTTCTTATTGACTAATGATGTTGAGCATCTTTTCATCTACTTATTAATCATTTGTGTATCTTCTTTTATGAAATGTTGATTTAAATCTTTTGTCCATTTTAAAATTAGGTTATTTGTCTTATTATTTTGTTGTACAAGGTCTTTATTTTGGACACAAGTTTGTTTTCAGATATATGATTTGCAGATATTTTCTCACAGTATTTGACTTCTCTTTTTTTTTTAATTAATTAAGTTATTTATTTTTGGCTGCATTGGGTCTTTTTTTTTTTGCAATACGCGGGCCTCTCACTGTTGTGGCTTCTGCCATTGCGGACCACAGGCTCCGACGCGCAGGCTCAGCGGCCATGGCCCACGGGCCCAGCCGCTCCGCGGCATGTGGGATCTTCCCGGACCGGGGCACGAACCCGTGTCCCCTGCATCAGTAGGCGGACTCTCAACCACTGCGCCACCAGGGAAGCCCGGCTGCGCTGGGTCTTTGTTGCTGCATGCGGGCTTTCTTTAGTTACAGCGAGCGGGGGCTACTCTTCGTTGCGGTGTGCGGGCTTCTCATTGTGGTGGCTTCTCTTGTTGCAGAGCACGGGCTCTAGGTGTGCGGGCTTCAGTAGTTGTGCTGCACAGGCTTAGCTGCTCTGTAGCATGTGGGACCCTCCCGGACCAGGGCTCGAACCCGGGTTCCCTGCATTGGCAGGTGGACTCTTAACCACTGTGCCACCATAGAAGCCCTCTTTTTTGTTTTCTTAAGGACGTCTTTTGAAGTGCAAAAGTACTTAATTTTGATGAAGTCTAGTTTATCAGTTTTTTTATTTTATGAATTAGGCTTTTGATGTTTATCTAAGAACTTGTTGCCTAACCCAAGATCACAAAGATTTTCTTCTAAAAATTTTATTGTGTTAGCACTTACATTTAGGAACCACTTGGAGTTAATTTTTGTTTATGTTGTGGTGTAAGGGTATAAAATCATCTTTTTTTGCATGTTGATATCCAGTTGTCTTAGCATCATTTGTTGAAAAGACTATCCTTTTGCCATTGAATTGCATCGATGCCTTTTTGGAAAATCAGTTGGCCATAAACCTAAGGGTTTATTTCTGGACTCTTGTTTCTGTTGCATTGATCTATATGTCTTATCTTTATACCAGTACAACCTCTTGATTACTGTAATTTTATAGTAAGTTTTGAAATCAGGAAATATGTCTTCCAGCTTTATTGTTCTTTTTCAAAATAGTGTTTTGCATTTCCATATAAATTTTAGGATTACTTTGCCAATTTTTGCCAACTGGGCAGAAAACAAAAAAGCTAACTGGGATTTTGTTAGGGCTTGTGTTGATTACATAGGGAATATGTAATCAGCTTGGAGGAGAATTGCCATCTTAAAAATACTGAGTCTCCCATTGCAGGAACTTAGAATGTCTCTCCATTGTTTAGATCTTCTCTAATTTTTCTCAGCAATGTTTTGTAGTTTTCAATATACAGGACTAATTATGATGTTAGATGTAGGTTTTCCACAGATGTCCTTTATCAAGTTGAGGAAGTAGCCCTCTGTTCCTAGTTTGTTGAAAAAGATTATAATGAATTGGTGTTGAATTTTGTTAAATGCTTTTTCTGTATCTGTAGAGATCATCGTGTACTTTTTGCCCTTGATTAATACAGTATACTAAATTAATCGATTTTTTATGTTAAACCAACCTTACATTCCTTAAGTAAATCCCTTTTGGTTATGGTGTATAGTCCTTTATTATTATTATTATTATTATTAGTTTGCTAATTTTTTTTGAGGGTTTTTACATCTTTATCCATGAGGGATGTTCTTTTCTTGTGATGTCTGGATAGCTAATATTTTTGCTGCTCTGGGAATCCTCTTCAGACAGGTGAAGTTACCATTTAAAAGTAGGACCTAGGACCAGGGGAGGGAAGGGGACACTTCTTGAGTTTATTTTTCAAAATGGGCATAAGGTCATATATGGAATATTAATTACACTTTATTTTTTTTGTTTTTTTTTGTTTTTGTGGTGCGCGGGCCTCTCACCGCTGTGGCCTCTCCCGTTGCAGAGCACAGGCTCCGGACGTGCAGGCCCAGCAGCCATGGCCCATGGGTCCAGCTGCTCCGCGGCATGCGGGATCCCCCCGGACTGGGGCACGAACCCGTGCCCCCTGCATCGGCAGGCGGACCCCCAACCACTGCACCACCAGGGAAGCCCTACACTTTATTTTAAGCAGCCTATTTTTAGGGATGAGATGCTGTGTTCCCTCTGATTATTTCTGTCACCAGAGTATTTGGACCATATCATATAGAAAAAGGTAATCACTTTTTCTATAGGAGAGTGATGATGTTGTATGGAAACATTATGTTTTACAGATCCTTAGTGGTCATTGAGGAGTGGATGGTAGAGAGTGTCAATGTCCTCAGTTTGGTCCTTGTTCAATTAGTAGAGGTGATACTTTGTGAGCAATGACACCAGGGGTGTTTAAATAATTTTGAGCAAGACTGTAGTATTTATTTCTGGGACTGGACTGTGTCGTTTGAGCACAGGTCTTAACAGACGTGCAAAATTTCATTAAGTTTAGTATGTTTATGATACTTTTTCCCACTTATCTTAAAATTTTTTTTATTATAGCAAAATATATATAATATAAAGTTTACCATTCTAACAATTTTGAAGTATACAATTCAGTGGCATTAAGTACATTAACAGTGTTGTGCAACTGTCAGCCCTATCCATTTATAGAACTTTGCATCATCTCAAACAGAAGATCTGTAGCCATGAAGCAATAACTCTTCATTCCTCTCCCAGCCCCTAGTGAACTCTATTCTAATTTCTGTTTCTATGAATCATACAGTATTTCTCCTCTAGTGTCTGGCTTATTTCACTTAGCATAACATTTTCAAGATTCATCCATGCTCTAGCATGTATTAGAATGTTATTCCTTTTTTTAAAAAGCTGTGGTAAAATATATATAACATAAAATTTACCATCTTAATCATTTTTTAAGCGTACAGTTCAGTGGCAGTTAGTACATTGACATGGTTGTGCTGCCATCACCACCATCTACCCACAGAACTCTTTTCATTTTGCAGAACTGAAACTGTTGCACAGTAGCTCCCTATTCATTCCACGTCGCCCCACCCCCCACCCTTGGCAACTACCATTCCACTTTCTGTCTCTGTGAATCTGACTACTCTGGGTATCTCATGTAAGTGGAATTCTACCTACTCTACCTACTTGTCCTTTTGTGATTGGCTTATTTCACTGAGCATAATGTCCTCAAGGTTCATCCATGTTGTAGTATGTGTCAAAACTTCCTTCCTTTTTAAGGCTGAAAAATATTCCATCATATGTATATACCACATTTTGCTTATCCATTCATCTGTTGATGGATACTTGGCTTGTTTCCATCTTTTAGCTATGTGAATAATACTGTGAACATGGGTGTACAAATATCTCCAGTCCCTGCTTTCACTTCTTTTGGGTATATAGTCATCCCTTGGTATCAACAGAGGATTGGGTCCAAGACCTGCCACAGATACCAAAATCTGAGGATGTTCAACTCCCATAGTTGGCCCTTTGTATCCACAGTTCCACATCGGTGGATTCAGCCAACTGCAAATCTTGTAGTACTGTATATATTCATCAAAAAAAGAAAAAATTCATGTATAAGTGGACCCAGGCAGTTCAAACCCATGTTGTTCAAGGGTCAACTGTATATCTAAAAGTGGAATTGCTGGACCATATAGTCATCATGTTTAATTTTTTGAGGAACTGCCATACTGTTTTCATTCTACATTCTCACCAGTGGTGCGCAGGGTATCAGTTTCTCCACATCCTCACCAATACTTATTTTCTGTTTTCTTGATAGTAGCCTAATGGGTGTGAGGTGGTATCTTATTGTAGTTTTGATTTACATTTCCCTAATGATTAGTAATGTTGAGCACCTTTTCATGTGCTCATTGACCATTTCTATGTCTCCTTTGGGGAAATGTCTTTCCAAGTCCTTTTCCCATTTTTTTTTTTTTGTTTGTTTGTTTTAATTTATTTAGTTATTTTTGGCTCTGTTGGGTCTTCACTGCTGCGCACGGGCTTTCTCTATTTGTGGTGAGTGGGGGCTACTCTTCGTTGCGGTACGCAGGCTTCTCATCGTGGTGGTTTCTCTTGTTGTGGAGCACGGGCTCTAGGCGCATGGGCTTCGGTAGTTGTGGCACGTGGGCTCAGTAGTTGTGGCTCGTGGGCTCCAGAGCACAGGCTCAGCCGGTTGTGGCGTACAGGCTTAGTTGCTCTGCAGCATGTGGGATCTTCCCGGACCAGGGATCAAACCCGTGTCCCCTGCATTGGCAGGCAGATTCTTAACCACTGCACCACCAGGGAAGTCCACTTTGCCCGTTTTTTAATTGGGTTGGTTTTTTCGTTGAGTTGTATTTCTTTATATTCTGGATACTAATGCCTTATTAGATGTATGCTTTGTAAATATATTCTCCTCTGGGTTGTCTTTTCACTCTCTTGATAGTATCCTTTGATGTGCGGAAGTTTTTAATTTTGATGAAGTCCAGTTTATCAATATTTTCTTTTATTGTCTCTTGTTTTTGGTATCACATTCATGAAAATCCATTTGTCTTTTAATTTATGAATACTGGGCATATATCTTGGGTATATTTCTTTTCTACCCATTGATCTCAAGACTAGGACCACTGCATATGCTACACAAGTTAGGAAACACAACAGCTCTGCCTAGGATCCTGGCTTTGAAAATTCAAGACTATCTGAGAGGGTCAGTAAAACTGCAGATAAAGTATGTTCTGTAGGACCAGCAGGGAAGGCATAGCAGAACTGAGATTTTGCTCTCCTGGGCCCAGAAGTTCGTAGCTTTATTAGAAACATATATATAGTTTTAACCCTGCAGAGGGATCATTCCTTGTGCTATAAAGGGATTACTTCTTATGGGTTATACCTAGTTTTAGTTCACCCAAATCCTATTAAATGAAGAAATGTAATGCTAGGATAATGGTACTGAACAAGTATTCCTCAAAGAGAAAGTAATTCTACTAGTGTATATTGGATCACATTATAAACTGAATTTCTAGCCAGAAATTGGGTTTGATGATTTAATCAAAGGTAAAACGTTTGACCTAAATGTAGAAGATTCTTATGCAAATGTGCAGAGGTGCAGAACATTATTAATTTAATAATGTTAAACCCCTCTCTTATGTGCATGTACATAACAGACATTGAATAAGTATTTTTTAATTAAACAGCTGTAATTGTAGGACTTCAGTTCATTTTCTGGCATTCTTATTTTATTTTCCAGACATATTTGACAAATACCATTTAACTTTTTTTGGCAATAGTGTATCTTTATGACTAGTTTTCTTTATGTCTGTTATGTACTACAGTGTAAGAATTATGGTGGCTAGGGTTAGAGTTCAGTATGCATCTTACACCTGATGAGGTCCCTTGAATCAGAGGGGAATTGTGTGAGTGAAGATTGCTGCGCAGGTAGTATTCTTGTCTTTGCCTTTTAAAAAAAGCTGATATGGATCACTATATATCTTCATTATTACCTAGAACTTATTGAATGTAAAGAATATATGAAACCTACTGCTGAATTATTCTCTTCCCTGATATTTGGTTCCTCTGCACAGTGAATTTCAGGAAATAATATATAATAAATGGCATTGGTGGATACAGGAGTTGCAAGTCCTTTGTGATCTAGACAAAAGGAACCAGAAAGTAGGCACAGAAATATTTAGACTTATTCAAAGCGTTGTGGTTTTGACATGTGATGTTCTTTGGGTTCTCAGAGTCAGAGGCAGATAGTGATTTGAATTTAGTTATCTGTATAGTTAAATATGTATTAATTCTGCACTTCAAGAAAAAAAAGTTTTACAAATCTTCTGACAAAAAGCTACTCTGAACTCTGGAAAGCAAAACCACGAGATAACATTCAAGATGAGAGACATTCTCATAAGAATTAGTATGTGGGGGAATTTCCCTGGTGGCGCAGTGGTTTAAGAATCCGCCTGCCAATGCAGGGGGCCCGTGTTTGATACCTGGTCTGGGAAGATCCCACATGCCACGGAGCAACTAAGCCCGTGCTCCACAACTACTGAGCCTGTGCTCTAGAGCCCGCGAGCCACAACTCCTGAGCCCACGTGCCTAGAGCCCGTGCACCACGACCACTGAGCCCGCGCGCCACAACTACTGAGCCTGCACGCCACAACTACTGGAGCCCGCGCGCCTAGAGCCCCTGCTCTTCAAGAAGAGAAGCCACTGCAATAAGAAGCCCATGCACCACAACAAAGAGCAGCCCCTGCTCACCTCAACTAGAGAAAGCCTGCGTGCAGCAACAAAGACCCAATGCAGCCAAAAAATAAATAAATAAATAAGAATTAGCATGTGGGAATATATGGAATAAGTTGACAAAGTAAAAACTGTGAGCTAATAAATCAGAAACATTCCAGAAACCTGAGTGTTTCTGGACTCTTTCCTGTTGTTTCTCGGTCTATCCCCAAAGCCTCTTGTTTTTAAATCTCCTCCACAGAGCTACAGTAGCTCACTTTCTTCTCTTTCCTTGCTGCACATGTCTTCAGATTTTCTTTCTACCCAGGAGCAGTATTCAACAAAGTATATATTTCATCCTGTAATCTTTTCTCTCTTTTACTTCATACTCCTTTTTGCAACACAGCACCCCTGCTTAGGAGTCCAGAGTCCAGTCCACCTGTGGCTCAGGCCTGTGGTTGTGGCTTCCACTATCACCACCTGGTGGCAGTGTTTCTCCACTGCAAAAGCAGAATTTGGGGCGGTACCAGAAAAAAAATCTTTGAATACTACATCTTCATACTAACTTAGGAGTTGCTTTCAATTCTCTTTACTCTTAAATGGTATTATATTTGGCATCATATTCAAAATGGTATCTTATTCATGTTTCATATGTTTAGCACAAAGATTTTAAATTTTAAGTTGAGTGACAAAAAGGAAGATTTTAAAGTAATGATAGATATTAATGAAAGATCAAATATCCATTTTATATAATTTACACAATTGTTTCTGTAATGCTGTTATATAGCCCAGTGTTCCCTTTATCCAGTTTTAAAGCACTAGGAATAAACTCTTAAATATTCACTGATGTTAAGAATACCTTAGCTACAACATCCCTGACTAAGTAAATAACAGTTAGTGGATTATCAGTCCTAGAAGATTCCAGTTGTGTGATATGTGAAATTCAAATAACTGTAAGAATCTTTATGATGTTTCCTTCAGGTGAAATTCCTAAGCAGGTTAAAGTGAAAAAATTGAAGAACCTAAAGACTCTGGATTCTAAACCTGGTATTGACTTTTATTAATTTTTAAAACATATACTATATGGGTAAATGGGTCATACTGCTTACCTCATTTTCTTTTCTTTACTTCTTAGGAGTTTATACTTCTTATAAGCCATATCTAAATAGAGATGAAGAAATCATGAAACAATTGCAGAAGGTGATTACTTGCTCATATTATTAATTTAAATTTCCTTACTCAGGTATGCAGTATCCAGTAAAGCAACATGTGCTTTATGTACAATAATATGAAAAGAGGTCTTTCTGGACTCTGGACTTTGAGCCAAAGCTTCATGAAAATCAGGAGACTAATGTAGCAGCAATTATGGGCTAGAAATATGGGACTGCAGCTACCAACCTAGTGCCAATCTTCCTGAAAACTTAGGAGTTATAGTGAGAAAGTCGTGGACTGTACTATGAGGTAGCTTAATACCTAATAGGATAGTTAGCATTTTTTTGGAAAATGTAAATATTATTAATACAACAAGTATGAAATAAATATAGTCTTTGTTGTGAGCTAATATTTTAAAGTATGGGATGAATGTCTTATATTTTGCTCTAAGGGTTTTTTACAGGATATTGCACAGTGAACTTCACATTAAATTACTTCAAGATGAAGATCTAGGGTTTCTTTCCCATCAAGTAAAATACATATTTACATATCAGCTAAACTTCTATAAGCATTCATTGTTTTGTATTCTCTGACACTAGAGTATAGGTTCTCATTTTTTTCCTCTTTTAAGGGTGTACAACAGAAGCGTCCTTCTGAGGCTCAAAGCGTTATTCTCCGACGTTATTTTTTGGAACTGACACAAAGCTTCATCATTCCATTAGTAAGTTAGCATACGTATTTGCTTAATTTAATGATTTGTTGAAGGGCACATGAATGTTTTTTTCATCCACCAAAACTTTATCTTAAAGTGTTTTGCTTGCTCATGTGTGTAGTGATTAAAATAGAGCCCTTTGCAAGACACCTGAATTCTTTATTCTGGTATTAGCTGTGTAATTTGGTAAGTCACTTCCTTTCTTTGACCCTCAATTTGTTTATCTGTAAAATGTGGCTGATTACACTTTCCCTAAAGACTTTTCAGGGTTGTTGTGAATCTTAAATGAGATAATTTTTATGAAATATTATATAATTATTGAATTTTGCACCTTAAAATGTTCTACTGGAGCTTCTTTCTCTGATGTTATTTATTTATTTTTTGATCGGTACCTTTTTTTTTGTTTGTTTGTTTTTTGCGGTACGCGGGCCTCTCACTGTTGTGGCCTCTCCTGTTGCGGAGCACAGGCTCCTGACGTACTGGCTCAGTGGCCATGGCTCACGGGCCCAGCCGCTCCGCGGCATGTGGGATCTTCCCGGACTGGGGCACAAACCCGCGTCCCCTGCATTGGCAGGCGGACTCTCAACCACTGTGCCACCAGGGAAGCCCATGATCGGTACTTTTTATTTCATGCTAAGAGAGTCAGATTGTGCTCCCCGAGCAGATGGGGAGGTTTTAAGCAGTGATGCTGTATGCTCATATTTCCATTTCATCTGAGGTATCAGGACAAAGCTTGAACTGGTTGAAGGAGGCAATGGGGTAGAGATGAGGTTGAACATTTTAGGATTCTATTATTAGTCCAAGATCCTACAATAGTACCTATTCCTTGCAGAGCATACCCAAGACTTCCAATATTACATTCCCAGGATACTGTGCAGGTGAAAAAACATGTTTACTGATTATACTTTCTAAAGAATTAAATAGCAACTCCCTAGGATCGTGGTCTGGGCTAAATAGATTTCACTGGGAAGAAGAACTTCACTATGCAGAGCTAAGCAGGTGCTTTCTTAAGACTGCCAAGCACTGGCGCTAGAGACCAACAATTTGTTTAATTCTCCTAACAACTCTATGAGGTAGCTGCCATTATCATCTGCATTTACTATAATGGAAAGAGCAGAAGTTTTGAAATCTGATATTATTTTCTTGAGCACAATTTGATATGATACCTGTGAGAATGTAGTTCCGTGATATAGTTCCTTATCTGTCTTGTTCATTACCTTTTCCTCAGTCTGTCACATGGTAGCACTCAATAAATATTTATGAAATAAATGACTAGATGATATAGTTATTTTTTGAAGTTCAGTGGAACATCATGTTAAATTACTATAAGTTATGCCTCACAGTATAAGGCAGTACCATGATGTGGTCCTAGTCTGGAGACTGCATCAGAGAGAGACTCGTGTAGTTGTTAATGTAATCTATCTAAGAATATTATAGGAGGGCAGTCTGGAAATCTTTGCTATTATACTTCGGGAAGAAATATTCTCTCTTAGTCTATAGATGTCAATTTATTTTGTTCCATTTAAATCAACTTGCTTAAGTAAGTGAACTTTACTATAGTGCTTAATTAAGAGCTTGGGCTGAAGTCAAGTAGACCTGAATTCAAGTTCAAGCTGTGTGAACTTGGGCAGGTTACTTAGCCTTTTGAAGCCTCAGTTTCCCAGTAATACCTGCCACAAAGGATAGTTGCAAGAGTTAAAAGAGATCACGCATGTAAAATGTTGAGTACATTTTCTGGCACACAGTTACTCGATAAGGTTAATTATTATCATTAAAAAATAGGTAGTTCTTTGGATTATCTGAGATTTAGTTAAATTTTTATTGAAAGTCTGACTTCTCAATTCAATCTAAATTTAGTGTACCTATTGAGACCGGTGATGGTGTTGTTGATGTCCATTGAAAGAGCATATGATTGAAAAACTTGGAAGCCCACTTTTTTTAAGTAGGTCAGTTTAAACATTTTTGAAGACTCTCTGGGTAAGAACACTTAACTTTGACTAACTTTTTTTTCTTGGATTTAGGAAAGATATGTGGCAAGCTTGATGCCTTTGCAGAAAAGCATTTCTCCGTGGAAGGTATAAATATATTCGGTTAAATTCCTATTTGAGTTGTCTAACTGCAGTTAACTTCTGTGAATATATCCATTTTTAATTTTTAAATACAGTATGTCATGTTTTCTAGAGTCCACCCCAATTAAGACAGTTCCTTCCAGAAGAATTTATGAAAACACTTGAGAAAACAGGACCTCAGCTGACCTCTAGAATAAAAGGCGATTGGATTGGACTTTACCGGTTGGTCCCTTTTTTTCTATTTCATCCATCTATAGAGCTTTATTTAAAAATGAAACAAAAAACTGGGCTTAAACATATTCTTTTTTTTTTTTTTTTATTTTTTGGCTGTGTCGGATCTTAGTTGCGGCATGCAGGATCTTCATTGCATGCAGGATCTTCATTGCAGTGTGTGGGCTTCTCTCTAGTTGTGTCGTGCGGGTTTTCTCTTCTCTAGTTGTGGCGCGGGGGCTTCACAGCGCGTGGGCTCTGTAGTTGCAGTGCACAGGCTCCAGAGCTTGTGGGATCTGTAGTTGTGGCGTGTGGGCTTTCTAGTTGAGGCGCGCAAGCTCAGTAGTTGTGGCACACAGGCTTAGTTGCCCTGCTGCACGTGGGATCTTAGTTCCCTAACCAGGGCTTGAACCCTCGTCCCCTGTATTGGAAGGCAGATTCTTTACCACTGGACCACCAGGGAAATCCAACATATTCTTTTTTTTAAAAAATTACATTGTTTCACATGATTCTCCTAGCTATAGGTAGAAAAAGTATTGAGCAGAGGAAGTTAAGTCATAATCAAACTTTGCTTTTTAAAAATTTATTTTTATAGGCATTTTCTAAAATCTCCAAATTTTGATGGTTGGTTCAAGACCAGGAGGAAGGAAATGACCCAGAAACTGGAGGCACTCCATCTGGAAGCTCTTTGTGAAGAGGTTAGAAAACAGCATGTTTGTGTGATGATTAACAACTATTGAAAATAAAGTTATTCATATAAAGGTTATATCCATATCCACTACTTTATAAATAGTAATAGCTAACTTTTCCAGATCATGTGCTATGTGCCAAGGACTGTGCAGGTGCTTTAAATGGATAGTCTTTTAATCTTCGTAGTTCATTGAAGTAGGTGTGTTATGATCTGCGTTATGAGATACTTGAGTGATTAATTGAGACACTTGAGTGATCCATTAATTAATTAAGTGATTTGCTTCAGATCACATCACTGCTAAGTAGTGGAACCAGCAGTGTGCTCGAGCCCACTTGCACTGGCTCACAAGAGCCAGCCGTGTGCATCTCTTCCCAGCTCTGTATTCAGTGATCTCAGGTTGGTAGCTTGAAATCAGCTACAGAGGGAGAATTACACCACAGCAACAGGCAAATGGTATAAACCAGGAACTTTTCCTGAGAGCCAGTTGTTAAATATTTACTAGCATACCACTGGATGGAGTTAGAGTTCAGATCCGAGCAGTCTAACTCAACATCTTTTCCACCATGCGTTATTCACCTTTCCCAGTTATTAATATATTTTTCCTGTATCTGGACTTTTTTGTATTCTATAATTTGTCAGCAGACTATTTTAAATTAAGCTACTTTTAAAAATATAAAGGATAGTCTCAATTTGTGTTTAGCTTGAGGTGGGCTAGCCTCAGTGTTAACTTTCTAATCATAAACTCTCAGTGACTGGTTTTCAGAGAAAGAATACCATGAAGGCAGCCACAAATAAGCCCAGGAAGAGCTTATTTGAAGATGCAAAGTTTGTATACAGTAATATATTCATGTTCGCAATTATCTTGATTTGTTAGTTGATGTACCTTATAAATTACTCACTACTTAGTGGGGTTGGGGGTTAGTATTGTACCTTAAGTTCCAATTTTGTTTTTCTTGATTGATCTAAAAGGGCCAGAAAGGAATTTCTTCCATTGTGTTTTACTTCTGGATATTAGACAGTCATTCTGGCTAATGTCAAAAAGTATCTGATTCACATTGTCAGAATATTATGTACAGAATTATACTATAATGCTATGTCTGGGTTAAATACCCTGTTCTCCTTTTCCTTCCTGTCCTTTCTTCCCAGTAGCCTTGCCTATTGAAATAGAACGATTTGAATATTATTTTGAGTATTTACTGATTTGAGATTTGTTTATTCTTCTAGGACTTACTTCACTGGACCCAGAAACACACGGAAGTAGAAACAGTAGACCTTGTATTGAAGCTAAAAAACAAGCTGGTATGTAGCCAAAGCAGCCAAAGATCTGTGAAGTTATTTTGCTCTTATTTCAGGTGATAGCTTTGATGTATCACAGAAGTAAATTTTTAAATGAGAGGACTTATGATTGGTTAATTGATGGTAGATCTGACTGAAAATACTTGGTCACTCAAGCAGATCATAATGAAGCCATATATTTTTGTTGTTGTTGTTATTTACATGGAGTCTAATGAGCTTTACAAAAAACATTGTGACTTATATTTAATACCACATGGTCTGTGTTGATATTATCTATTAATTTACATGAAGTCTTTTTTCGAGCTCAGCAATTGTATTGTTAAAGTGGCATGTTCTTTGCTTTTTTATAGATTCTGTAAATTCTGGTCTCAGTCTGAAGTTTCCAAATCTTTGACCATTAAAACTGTTTATTTAGAGAATATACTGTATTAATACAGCCTCAAAAGGTAATTTAAATGCTTCCAAATGTTCCTTATATAGTTGCAGGCTGATCGAGAGCATTTACCTGTGAAACCTGACACTATGGAAAAGTTACGGACACACATAGATGCAATTATTTTAGCATTGCCAGAGGACCTACAAGGCATACTGCTCAAAACGGTCATGACATGATATTTGCCAGGATTTTCCAGCCAAAAGGATTGTACACCATGAAGCATACTGACACTTCAACCAGACGCCCAAGATCTCTCGGAGCGGAAAATAGCCGTGGATGCTAGCTACAGGGTTGAAAGACTACACTGTATAAACAGACCTTTTTAGTGCATTAGTTTTAAAAAAATGGATATCTGTGGTGGTTCCACTTTAATACTGAAACACCAAAAGGCATTTCTATATTTTTAATCATGTTCTAAAGTGCTCTTATGAGAGACCTGTGGGGCCATCAGTTTAAGTGATTCCAAACTGCAGTGCTGGCATTGCAGATACTTTTTTAAATTGGTGCTTCTCTGTCCAAACATGATAAAACTCAGGGGGATATAAAAATGACATTCACACTGGCTATCTTCTTAAGAAGAAGGAAAAGACTGAACTGTCAGACTGTAGTTAGGAGTGATTAATGCTTTTGTAGTGCCTTCCGTTGTCCTACGTGTTTCACAAAGCCCAGCTGCTAGTCTTGAAGCTTTTTCTTAACTTGATTATGATATGTAGTTTTTTATAAGGCATTCTTTTGAGTAATCATTGCTTAAAAATATGTTTTTTGCCTCCCATTGTGTTCATTATTAGTGGCATTGGTGTTTTTTTTTTTTTCAATTGTCATAGAGGTTTCATTTCATTATTTTCTATACCAGTTTCAAATTTAATCTCAGTTTCACCAAAGGGAAGAAGACATGTAGTATTAATTATGGAAGAGTTTATTTCCTCTTACCCTTTGCTAATTGGGCCCAAGTTAATTAGCTTGTCTGTTTTTCAAAGGCATTCTAATTATAAACCTCGTAATCAGCTACTTTTTAAAACAACTATTCTTATTTCAAAGGCATTTGTAAAACTTTCTTTTTTTTTTTTTTTTTTGCGGTAAGCAGGCCTCTCACTGCTGTGGCCTCTCCCGACGCGGAGCACAGGCTCTGGACGCACAGGCCCAGCGGCCACGGCCCACGGGCCCAGCCGCCCCGCGGCACGCAGGACCTTCCCGGACCGGGGCATGAACCCTTGTCCCCTGCATCGGAAGGCGGACTCCCAACCACCAGGGAAGCCCTAAAACTTATATGTGATAGTCATTTGAGCGATTATAAGATTGATTTCTAGCATTATTTGTTTGGTATGGTTTTTTCCCCCCAAATTAATATTTCT